ATTATAGAAAGGAAAAGAAAACTGCAAATATGTTGGATCAGAAATGGGAATAATTTTTAACCTTAGCTCACAATATAAAATATTTTTATGTTGCCATAAAACTGAAGTGTCACAGGTTGTTATGTACTTTTCAGATTAAATTGAGTGAAATTGTTGGGACAGGGAAGGATAACAGAATCCTTAAAGAAGATATACTCAACTACTTGGCCAAACAAACAGGAGCTATTTTGCCTCCATCACCGAAGGCTGAAATTGTGCCACCCCCGCGGAAAACAGAGGCTGTGCCAGCTGCTGCAAAGGACAAAGCACGCAAAATCCCTGTGCCTGTTTCCAGACCCATTGCATTTTCAGGAAAAGATAGAACTGAACCTGTAACAGGTAAATCATGAAATATAAAGTCTTGAGACCATGGTCACAGTAGACTACCAGTAACTGTTGTTCTGTGAGTAGCTGATTCCTTTGGATGGGAGTGTGTTTCATGTTATTGTTATGCAAGTGAATATTTAGGAAAACATTCTCTGTAAGAAGCATCTCTGCTGAAATTATTTTATGAAATACTTGTTCATGTTTTGGTTGGATGGAGTTAGGCTGCAAATTGCACTTGCTTATTCTTCAAGTGTATGTTGAAACAGGTAGGAATTCTAAACGTGGATTTGTCATGGTAGGAATCATTATGCAATTAATGGCAAAGTGCAGTGAATTTAAGGGTTTATCAGTGCTTAATAATAGCATACTGCACTAGCATGTCACACTGGTTCTGGAGAGCAGTCATAAAAGACACTAGGATAACAAAAAATCACATTAAAAGTAGAAGATTAAAGTTTTTTGGAGAGGCTGGAAAGCATAATGCAGATTATCATATTATGATTTAAAATTCATACATACATATCAGGGGGATGCAATAATATAATCTGAAGTATTACAGTCATCAAAACTGAATTCTATGAATGCAATAACTCAGTAAGTGCTCTTTACCCTGTTATTTTTTGTTTATGGTTTGGCTTTGGTTTGGTTTTTTTAAGTTATGTGATTTGGTTAATGGAAACAGATGAAATTTGACCATAACTTCACAGAAGCTCATTTTATTGGTTTAAGAAGATAATTAATATTTCTCAGGTTTTCAGAAGGCCATGGTAAAGACTATGAGTGCAGCCCTGAAGATCCCCCACTTCGGGTATTCTGATGAGGTTGATTTGACTCAGCTTGTTCAGCTGCGAGAGGAGCTGAAACCTCTAGCTGAAATGCGTGGAGTTAAGCTTTCCTTTATGCCTTTCTTCATAAAGGTGAGGCATGCAGCAGAGCCCTCTATGGAGTACTTACACAGGTTTTGCCAAAATCTCTTCAATGATTGTTGTAAGTTTGGAGCACCTTTCTATCATCTGAGTTATGGCAGATGACAGGAAAACTTTCAACTGTTTTTTTGTTTATTGAGCCACTTATCAATTTACAGTTGGAATTGCAGCTAGAGTTATGTAATATCATTGCAATTTTTGGAAATGTTAATGGGAAAGGATAGAGTGCCTTCAGCATCTTTTAATATGGAGTTAAGCATCACCAGGTGTCTGAATTGCACAAAACCAGTTTTTGAAATTGTCAGTATTTCTTGAGCTCCTTTAAAATGAACCTTATATGAAATGCATCATTGCTGCTGTTGATGCTATTATTATAATCTTTGTATTGCTAATGAATCTCTTAGGTCAACTGACTGTTGTCTCTTCTGCTGTTCAGAAGAGCAGGCAGTTGCACTTGGGCAGTGAATGTATAACTTAGTCTGAAACTTCTGGTAATGCTATTGCACTCAGAGTGCTACCTAAACACTCATTCCATATTGTTTTTAATCTAAATTTTCTCCTACCATTACTTCTTTGCCATGGAGCTCTCTGCTTAGAAAATATAAAAATCTGTTTTATTTTCTTTGGCTCTATTACAGGCAGCCTCTATGGGATTGCTGCAGTATCCCATTCTTAATGCTTCTTTGGATGAGAACTGTCAAAATGTTACATATAAGGTTTGTAAACTATGGGTAAACATTGTGAGCACAAAGTGTAAAGTAATGTCTAACAGGGGCTTTTCAGAATGCCTGAGCTAATTATAACAACCAAAATTATGATGTTGTGCAGGAAAATAATTTGTGTGTTCAGATTCTGAGATCTAGATTTGATTTATTATTGGTCTTATTTCAGTAGTCTGTTAGATGAGTCACTTTGTTATTCAGACTTGCCTCAAAAATGCATATAAACATATTAATTTCCTATTTTTCACCAGAATAGGGGCCAAACTTTTAAAATGAGAACATTTCAGATCTAATACATCAATTTTTAAGTAATGGCACAGTGATTCAACTGTTCCAACACTTAAAATACAATCTTGGTAGTTTTTATACAAGCTGCTGGATTGATACTTCTGGGCAGCAAGTATCTATTTTCTGTTTTCTTATGTGTACTTGCTCCTTGCAGTACAGACTCTTTTTTTGTGCTGTTTTATAAATATCTCTCAGAATCCTTTTCCTTCCAAAAAATGAAAAGCAAGTGATGTCAGTGATGTGAGTGTTAGCTGAGGTCATCTGTAATGGAAATGGAAAATGGAATCTCCCTTTGTTGCAGAGAAACTGCATAGCTCATGATTGAAAAGTTTGAGGTGTTTTTAAATGACTGTGCACACACCAAATTTTTTTAAATTTTAGTGTTCTCTTTAAAATCTGCTATTTGTTTTGTTCTACATATGATCATCCTAAAGTAAATGTTTTCAGTTGAAGTTGGTTCCAGGACTTTGAATTCTCTGAAGGTGAAATTGTCAACATCAAATTACAGTTTGCAAATGTGAGGCTAATTTTTAAAAAATTACATCATTTTCTCACCTTAAAATTGTGTGCAGGAGTTGCTTACTAAATACAGCACTTTCCAGGTTAAAAAGATAAATAAGGAAAATGTGCTTGAAGTGGCTTTTTATGCAAAATACATTTTATGTTGACAGCTTATATTAATGTCTGATTCATGACACTTGCTGCAGGCTTCACACAACATTGGAGTTGCAATGGACACAGAGCAAGGTTTAATTGTCCCAAACGTGAAAAATGTTCAAGTCTGCAGTGTGTTTGACATTGCTGTGGAATTAAATCGCCTCCAGTCCTTGGGCTCTGCAGGCCAGCTGGGAACAAGTGACCTCACTGGGGGAACATTCACCCTTTCAAATATTGGCACAGTAAGTACAAGGAAAATGAGAGTTGCTTCTGAAATGCAAGCTTTACTGAAGCTTAATATGCAAAGAGCAAAATCTGTAGCAATTAATTCAAGAGGCAATCTGCTTAAAAAAAGTTGTTAAATAACATCCACACCTTTTTCTTTTCTAGATTGGTGGCACTTATGCCAAACCAGTGATACTACCTCCTGAAGTAGCTATTGGAGCACTTGGAAAAATACAGGTATATAAAGTTTATCTCAGTAATGAGAGTGTTAACTAAGGTCATTTGTAATGAAAATGAAACCTGGAGTCTGCCTTTGTTGCAGAGAGAATGCAGTGCTCGTGGCTGAAAAATCTATGGTGTTTTTAGATGACTATGCATACACCAAATGTTTAATTAGAAGTCTCTTATAGCAAAGGTACATATTTATTTTCCAGAATCCTGTTATGTTTCACTCACATCTATGTAAATACAATGTAAAGATGTAATGAAACAAAGTAAATACAGTTTTACAAGTTTTGCGACAAGGCAATGACAATTTTGCTATCAGCAGGGGGAAAACTTGTGAACTACTCTGAAGTTTAATTTCATGAGCCAGGAAGCTGAATCAATACAGAATTTTGAATGTGAAGGCAGTTTTATATTTTCTGAATCTCAGGCATTAATTCTTTAATATAGACATTTGATTTCAATGCTGGAAATTAAATTAGTGTTAACTGAAATTACTTCTATGTTCTTCTTCTGAGCATTTTATTAGAAATGCTTTAAGGAAACTGCTACTTTGAGCACTAACAGTGCAATAAACTATTCAGGAATAAACTTTTGGGTCAGGAAAGGCTTTTACTACTTCAGTATTTCCATGATGATGGAAACAAGCTATGACTGTTTATTATGCAGGCTTGCAATATATTCTAATCCACAGCACAAACAGTAATGGAAGGGTCTTGGTTTTTTGGCAGGGTGTTACTGCTGTCTGTCTAATTCAGCAAAATGTTTCTATTTAGATCAACAAATTAGCGGGAACAAAAAAATAGAGATTTGCTAATGAAAGTATTTAATTTAATAATTCTGGTTTTGTCCTTCCTGTGATTTTTAGGTTCTTCCGAGGTTTAATGGCAAAGGTGAAGTATTTAAAGCACAAATAATGAATGTGAGTTGGTCAGCTGATCATCGCATCATTGATGGAGCTACAATGGCCCGGTTTTCTAACTTATGGAAATCTTACTTGGAGAACCCTGCTTCGATGCTGCTGGACCTTAAATAAAGGAAACCATGGCTAGAAAATGCCTTTAAACTCTGTGGATTAGACTGGATAGTTATAAAAGCTGTCTCTGCTAACATGTGCCCTTTGCTACGTGCATTATATAATAATGTTATGTGGTTGAAAGTTCTCAACAGCTGCTATCAGTCTCAATTAGTTGTTACTTCTTTCATTTAGTATTGCTATAATTTCGTCCACAGCAGTCTGTCAAACTGAATAGGTCACAGCTTCTGAATATGGTGGTGGAATGTCTTTATTTTGCCTTTTATAATAAGAATGATTGGCAGGCTGGTGTGAGTGCCACTGCTCCACACCTGCAGAATTTATAATCTGAAGGGAAATTTTGGAGGGTAATACTTCATAGTTCTTCCATTTTGGACACGTAAATTTATTTTAACAAATAATATCTGAATTCCTAAAAGGGATTATGCAAAAATCATATACAAATAAAATGCCTTTAATGCTTCTGCTGTAAGATGTCCAGAGAGCTTTTTGTTATTTAACTGAGTAAACCACTTAAGACTTTTGCTAGTTCACTTTTTCTGGCAATTACTTGCACAGGTACTCTTTATCAAATTGTAAATGAAGAGGCCATATTTATTCAAATGCTTACTGACAACACTGATTGATAACTATCAAGGCCTTAATACTCTCTAGAATATCCTGTATTTTTAAAGGATGAAAGTAGTTTCAGCCCTTAATGCTTTCCAGTTTTTTTTTATTCTCATAGAAAGCATCTCTCTGTTAAAACCAAAAGAGAAAGAAAGATCTTGTTTTATTATTCTGTCATTAGGTAAGCCTGACAGTAAGATGATCATGATCTGAAAGCTTGCATTCTGTTATTGATATTCAGATACTAGAATCTGATAGATTAATCAGATTCAACAAAGAATGGATATTAAAAAATACTGTGAGATAAGTACTCTCTGTTCTTCAACTGTTCTTAAATACTGTTCTTAAACTCAGATATGAGGCACATAATGGATAGGTTCAAGTTAACAGAAAACTTATGTGGCTTTAAGGTAAACTAAACACGTCATGAAGATTGCACTGCTGATTTAATGGGAGTTATGAAGAAAACTCTTGGATATAAATACCTTCTAAACACATAAGTTTTACGCTGACATGAGGAAAGACGGTTACATAGCCTTAAAATGAATTTGTAATGCACAAAATGGACATTTTCTCCTTTTTTTAGATATATCAAAAGCAGGAGCATTCTTCAAAATTGTAGGCCAAAGTTGTCTATTGCATTTAGCTGTGAAGATGTGAGACAGGCTACCAGAGCTAGAATCCCTGCTATCCGTGATGCTGAGACTGAATAAGAGGAAAGCTGGTAATGTACAAAGAGAAGTGTGGTGCATCCATGTAAGGTGCTATTCATATTTCTATTGTGGTATAAGGGTCTTTTATATAAAGGTCATTTCTTGCAAAGTTTGACTAATATATCATGCTTATCACCTATTTCATTTTTATCAGATTTATTTATTCCTAATAAAAAATATAAAGCCAAAATTATTGTTTTTATTTGTGAATTTTATGCAGGCAATCCTGTATGGGTGACTCAAACTCTCCCCTTGCCTTAGACAACATACTGTACTCAAGGCTACCAAAAGAACTCAGCCTAATGTCTACCTTCCTACAAGTATATTGTTGTGGTAAGGTCTTAGTCTAAAGGCTTAGGATATTTTTTTAATCTGATGACCATTGAGAAAATAAATTGAGGGACTAGAAGCATATGAAAGAAAGCAATAAAATTACTTTGGAATACTTAAGACAGAATAATTTTACTTATACAAGGAGAAGATTGAAAGCTAAAGTACTTATTGTCTTTTTATGTAGGTATTGGTATTGATGTATTTAGTTGTCTGTGGACTGGAGAGGATTGGAGTTTTTCATTATAAAGTTCCTGTGTGGTAGAATTATAACCAAATTAATGATACTTTTAAGATTTCATCTTCACATTCTATACTCTAATTCAACTATCCAGTTTTATGGCTTCTGCCTCAAATAGTGACCTGTGATTATTGTTGTCTCTCTCTTCCCATTTGATTGAAGAAAAAGATTCTGATAGACTTGTTCTCCTTTTATCTTCTCCAAGGGCTATTTGAAGAAATAGAATGTTAAATATGTTTCATGATTGGAACCATGAAAGGGGGTGAGTAATAACCCCTCTGCACATCCTGGTTAAGATTACTTTTCTGTCTGGACTTTGATAATTTGCAGTAAAATTCTTCAGCAAGAGAATTCTTCAGCATGGGCAAAAGTAATGAGTAAAATACTTAGAGATGTAATACCTCTTTTAGTCTGTTTAGTCCATGTTGCTGTTTAATAGCACTTTGAAGCTCAGTTACATTCTCTGTTTGCAGAGAAACATTACTAAAGAAAGCAGTCATTCTTAATTCAAAACTGGCCCTTTTTATTTCTAATTGTAATTTTTTAATTCAAAATAAACTTATTGTATAGCATAACAAGTATTCTTTTGTTCTTGTTCACAGTTTTTGTTAATGGGAGTCCAATTTAGGGGAGCCCAGTCACACTCAGTAAACTGGGAAGACTAACAGTGGTAAATGCTTGGGGGGGTTGCAAAAGTGCCTCATGTGATGCCTTCTATTCTCAGCATAGGTTAAAATTAGAACTAGACTGACATTGCATTGGAGTCTGAGTGAGAGTTTTAAATGGCTTTGGTAATGCAGACAAGATTCACAATTTATCTTTACTCTTGTCCAGAAAGCAATGAGTCACAGAAAATCCTTGAAAACACCAAATAATTGAGGTAAGTTGTTGTTGAACTCTTTTTGATACTTGGAGATGAAGTTGTTGGGAGATCTGATTACTTGGGAGTGAATTTGCAGTTGTTGTACAGCCACGCTTGGGAATTCACTTCTGAATTGTTGGCTGTGATAGCAAGAATTATTATGGTTTTTATTTTCTTGACAAATAATAAGACCTAAGACCAAGACCTTTTTGATGGAATCCTGTTACATAATGAAATCATCCTGAAAATAGTCATGTACTTAGGTCCTTTGATGTTTCATGGTTCTAAGACAGTATTTGTTGAATAATGTGCAAAAGAGAGTTGCCCAGAGTAAGCTTTACTAGAAATAAGTATTGGTTTGACTGTATAGTGTGATACTGGGTTTGGTAATACAACTATTAACAAATGTCTCTTTTCTGTGCAATTTATATAAAAATATTTCTAGTTTTCTTCTTAAAAGGGTTTGTAGTTCAAAAAATGTCTCTAAACAACAAGATATAATAGACTTGTTAATCACTTGATCTCAATAGAAATTTAATCCTGAAAAAATCAGGCAATTTGAATTGTAACCACTGACTGCAGCTAAAACCCTCATGCATACATAGCATTACTGTTGCATATTGGAATGGGGATTGGGAAGGGTAGTTACACTGATGACCACTGAAAGAGAAGCTAATCCTTCAAACTAGTAAATGTAATCACATTTATGTGGAAAAGGGAAAAAGTATAGTCCTCTCTTTACAGGAACAATTCCAGTCCCTCTGTAGGAACCCAAAGACCAGACTTCACTGCCATTCTAGGGTTGCCATTTGTGTCACTTGTCAAATCCTGCCATTCTTCCTTAACAGAGAACACATAAGAATCATAAATATTAGTATATTAGAGCAGATTCTTCTTTATTCAAACTTTATAATTTGATTTTTGTGCTGTCTTTACAACAGGAGACAATCCTGACATTTTACATTTTATTTGCCTACACATTTTAAATTTATTTCGGTATAAGCAGACTTTACAAATAAGTATGTTAGCAAAAGACACAGTAAACATAAAATAGAATGATTGACAGTTTGAACATGCAAATGGTCACTAAGCAATCGTGGCTTATCCAGGCCTCACAAAATTGTAACAGAAAAAATATGAAAGAAAAGATTGGTTCTAGAAGACAGACCTGCAGCAATTATTGTAGGAAAATATATGCATGAAAAGATATGAAATTCTTCTTTTGTTGTTACTTACCTGCTTGTTTGGAAGAAAGCTGTCCTTACTTTTTTTAGTTTGAAGCATATATGGGATATTTTTCTTACTTGCCACTACAAGTATCGGTAAAAAGTTAGAAAAGGAGCGTTCAGATCATCAGTGTTCAGAGTACACTGCTGCTGGCATGAAGTTTAGCAAGGGTATCTCAGTATCAGTATCTTGGCTCCAGTAATGGCAATAAGAATGATTTTTAGAGAGATGCACTGAGTGAGTATCCAATTTTGCTGCTCTTCAGGACAATATGTATTAATTATCTCACAAAAGAATAGGTAACTTCAAAATTTTAGTTACTGAATTTAACTTTAAATGTGAATTCTGACACTCAGGAGGGATAAACAGACATTCTAAAAGAAATCAGAAGGATTTAAATGCATTTTCCCAAAGGTAATGCATTACTAACTATAAAATACATTGAAATGAGTTAAGCTATGAAGAAAATGAATGCACATAGAATATACTAATTAATCTCTGGGAACACTTCAGTTTTTGTAAATTGCTAAACTCCTTTAGTGACAAGTATTTATATCAGATAGGTGCCAAAATGCAGCTATCAGAATTTAACTGCCTTAGACTGCAGGAAACAGCTTAATTTCTTCCAGGGATGGGAATGAATGCTCAAATCTGCATTTAATAGTTATTGTTAATACTTAGCCCTACCATTGGGAGGAATTGAGAGCAGCAGTTGTTCACTGAATAAGAATGCAGAGACTGCAAAAATACCATTTCTTATTATAATAACATTTAACTAGGTGCAGTTATCTATTTTTATAAAGAGAAAGCAGTCAATAAAATCCTGTCAGTTCTTTCCATTAACTAATTTGATAACATGATGAAGTGGGTATTGCAGAATTTTGGTTTTCACGTCACTGTCCCCATCTGGTAACTTATACCTGAAGTGGTTCCTGAAATTCAGTCAGATTCCTGCAAGCAAATCTGAGCATGTAAAGGATCATGGCTGAAACTGCAGTTTGCCTGGGAACATTCACTGCTGTGAAGACACTTTGGGAAGTGAGAATACACAAGATAAATGAAGAATTACAGAAAGAAAAGGAATTCAGGCAGAGGTCTGCAGGAAGGTAGGTAAATTGTAGCTCTTCAAGTATGTGAAAAGCTAGACCATATGTTACAGTTCAGAAGACTGTAATTAGTTTCTTCAAACTCCTGCAGACTCTAATTCTTTAGTTGTTACTCCAGCAGAATTCCCAGTGATTAGAATTTATCTAGTGTCTGTGATAAAAGTATTAGTATATAGATTAAATCCCCTGAACTCAGACACTAAAATCCTCTGCTCTGTAAATATTCTAATCGGTGAAGATTTGTTATGTTTTCCTCTCCACTGAGAAATTAACAGGATTGCTTGGTCTTCTGTCTGCCCAACAATTTTATGAAATTTTAAGAAAAGTAGTATTCTATTTTTGGTACTCCTAATTTATCAGATATGTTTGAAATGAAACAACAAATTCAAAAGTTGCTCATGGAGAAAACAAGCAGACAGAAAGAGAATTACCTTGTTTAGGTCCCCTTTGGAAATCAAGCTAAAAGAACCTGATTGACCTATTTTCTTGCACTTATATATGGTGGAATGGAAGGCTTTCATTTTAGGTGACTGCTTCAAAATGTGCTTTGGAACTTAATTTCACACGATGTTATATTCTGTGGCCCTGCTGTAACATGCTGAAAGTGAATTATGTCCTCCTTCTGAATGTAAATTTGAAGAACTGTAAAATAGAATTCCTATAAATTATCTCAGCTGAATATTAAGGGCTTGTTTTCTCTCCGATAGTATATTAACATCCAGATATAAGTAGTGTTACTTGACAATAAGGGAATTGTCTCTTTTTCCAGAAAATAGATAGGATAGTAATTATTGGCTGTGTTCATTGTGACACCACTGGCAGATCTTCTTTCCCTTGTAGGCTACTACTTGTCTGGGAGGAGAGAGCTGCTTTAGCAAAGCTCAAAGAAAAAGTTATTAATGAAGGTGGAAGAGCAATTTTAAGGATAGAGGAAGAAGAATGGAAGGTAGTGTTGATAGGAATAAATGCTGCTTGTGTTGAATGACTGATGCATTAGAAAACTACTATTTACAACTTTATACTTACAGTGGTACTATTTTTGTTCTATTAACCATTCACTGTGCTTTGCTGACAGTGAAATTGGGACACACTGTTGTGAGTGTAAAAGCAAGCTGGGTGATTTTTAGTCCTGAATATTAAGCATTACTCTGCAAAAACAAAGCCCAAAAGGCTTTTCTGCATTAGAAGTTGTTTACACTGCAAAGTATGATTTTCATTATGTAAATTTTCATAACATTCACACACCAGAAATACTGAAATGTATCAAGGTGAAAACCCTCTGTGTTCGGGTGCATGAAGGTATTTCTTATTGTTTATTGTCTCTTTCTGAGAGTGAAAATGATCCAGCAGATTCCCAGAACACTTTTATTGCTGTTTCTCATGCACAGGGGTAATCTGCTGTTAATGCTGGCAGAGTGGAAGCCAGCAGTGCTCTGAGCCATGCAGAAATGCACACACCAGCTCCTAGAAAGTGATGAGATTTAGTTTGTGTTGAGGCCAGTCAGAGCATGACACCCAGATCCAGCCATAACTCAGGTGGTCTGCAGGCCAGTGGTCCTTGTTCAAAACTCTTTACATATAGACATTGTCGTTTTTTTTATCCCTCAACTCTTCTGCTCTCAGCTGCTCACTGTTTTTATTGACAGAATAGGAAATAGAATTTAGATATCCCTTTATGTGCAAATCTATTTAAAGCAGTTTCATCTTCAGTTATACTGATTTTTTTTTTTTTGAAAGAAAGAAACAAACAAACAAAAACAAGCCTGAAACTTGTCAGTGACAGTAGCGCAGGTATCCAAATCCTGGGAGCCAAAAGTGGGCAGGTTAAATCTGTGATCAGAATGACAACCCACACTAGTGTTCACTTCAAGATCATGGAATCATGGGATATGCTGAGTTCATTGAGTCGAACTCCTGGCCCTGCACAGCCCATCCCCCAGAGTCACACCCTGTGCCTGACAGCATTGTCCAAACACTTTCTGAACTCTGCAGGTTTGGTGCTGTGACCACTGCCCTGGAGAGCCTGTTCCAGTGCCCAAACACCCTCTGGGGGAAGAACCTTTGCCTAATATATTGATATACCTTTAAACCTTTATAAAATGTAAACCTTTTCCTAATATATATGATATTAAAATGGTATCAGTTATGCTTGCTATTTCTAGCATATTTTAGAAAACAGTTACCAGGATTCATTTTGTAACCTACATGTTACAGTATAGCTTAAGGACAAGGACAGACTGTTAGTGTTTCAAATAAAACTTCTGCCTCAGCCTTTATTCTAAGCTGAATTTCTTCTGGTTTGTATTTCTTGTTGTAGACATTACCTTCGTGCTTATTGAAACTAATCCATCTCCAGGAATGGCAGCTTCACAGAACTAGTTTGCAGAAAATTCCTCAGTTTATTGGAAGATTTCACAACCTTGTTGTTCTGGATCTGTCCCGGAACTCAATTGAAAGTGTACCGAAAGAAATTGGTGAGCTGTCCTTTCTTTTATTTTAAGCTGCTTTTCTAAGAAAATTGGTCTTGCATAAATATACTATTTTTGTGCCCTTTGCCTGTCTAATAATCCTATTGGGTAGTAAGAAAACAGGTGATTTAAATCTGACAGTGAGATGGAGATCTCCAAACCATATATTCCATATAAACTGAAAATGGGGCTGGATGGAAGAGACATATCTCTATGAAAACTCTCCATGACAAGAAAAGGACCTGTTTGCACAGCAGGGACTAGACATCAAAATGCAGATAGCAAAGTGATACTGAAAAACAGACTTAATGTTCTGAGTCCACGGCAGGAATAGCCTAGTTGCAATTTTTTGGTTTTGGGCTTTTCCTTGAAGCACTCAACTAGATTACAGTCCTGTACTAAAGAGTCCTGAAGTGCTACTATTTGCAGTTTAATGACATTTTTTGTTTGTTTTGTTTTTTGAGAACATAGAGTATTTTTATAACAGTAAAAGGATAAGACAAAACAAATAATACTGTGCTTCAAATAGAATAAACATGAACATTTCCCATTTGTGCTCTCTGCAGGCCAGCTGACCAGCCTCCAAGAGCTGCTTCTCAGTTACAACAGAATAAAATCTGTTCCTAAGGAAATAAGTAACTGCATCAGTCTGGAAAGATTGGAACTGGCTGTCAATAGAAGTATCTCTGATCTTCCTCCTCAGGTTTTGACAAACTGTTTAGCTTTGTTTAATGCATATTTTGAATTTATCCAAAGCCAATTATCATTATATGTTGCATTTCTGTTTTCAGATTTGCTATGATGCTGTGATTTCACAGTACTCCACAGAAACACTGATGAAAACAACCTTTTAATGACTGGTCAGACTGAAGGTGCATGAGAAGCACATACATACACAATAGCTGAAGGAGCCAGTCTTTATTTTGGCCAGATTAATAACTTGGCAGTGCATAGAGGGCAGTGACACACTCCATATCGATTTGTTTAGGCTGGATATCATCACTGATTTACCCCACTGAGTATCTGATGCCTTAGCACAGAGAAGTTCCCTTTTGTGGTTGAGAGTACACATTCATACCATATGCCAGGCCACAGCTGGAAGCATCTTTACCAGAACAGCTAGATCTGAAAAGGGGTGGTGTGACTGACACAACTGCCTGTGCAGAGGTGAACAACTGTTCTTCTCAAATGTTGAAAATAGTTATGAGAGAATGAAAACAACTATTCCCCTACTATTGAACTTTAAATTTAACAGACTGAAATGTGAGAGACCTGCATCTGTAAGTATTAGTCTCTTAGATAGAGATGACAAGTATGTAACCATATTTACTTGTTTTAATTTATTTTTAAAAAACATTCATGGCAATAGTTGACAGTAATCAGTGCCTTGCAAATTTGAGCAAGTTCAAATAGCAATAGCCAACATAGAATCTTCAAATGGGAATACACACTATTAACCAAAATCCAGAATCTACAAAATCTATGTGGAAACAGGTTTTGCAGGTGTAATGTAGAAAATCCATAGTTCTGTCCTATGGAGACTGTGGTGATGTGAACATTGGGAAGCTTTGGTTATGTACACTTGAGTGGCATTCAGTGTTTGCACAGTTGTACCAGATCTGCTATAAAACATCTTTGTATCACTTGAACATTGCAAAAGCACCTCAAGGTATGATTCACCAAAGGACTTAGGCGCTCTAATGCTATGTTGCATTTTTTGAATGAGTAGACTTCACAGCATGGAAGGTATCATGGTTCACTGTAAAATACAGTCCAGACAATTTGATACATAAAAGTCTAAATATATGAGTAACAAAAAATGGCATATTGCATGAAGTATGAAATTTTAAGGACAGTGCTGTCTTTGACATTCTTTTTCTTGAAGCTTGGGGCATATCTGCATTGTAGTGAGCAGTTATGGCACTCACTACTGGGTGGGAGGTGAAGTTTTGCTGCCTTATCAGTTCCCAACCTACCTGCCTTCCAGGCAAAACTGTTACTGTCAGGTACTATCAACTATTGGAACTCAAAACTTTGTGTTTACTAGCTCCAAAATGTGTAGTACTTCTCAACATTATTAGAGCACTGCTGTACTGCTGCAGCAGCTACATAAAGTTGCATTAAATCTCCCCTTCTTTTCAGCTCAGTGATTTAAAGAAGCTGTCACACATAGATTTGTGCATGAATCAGTTTACTGCCATCCCTCCAGCTCTTCTCAACATGCCAAATCTAGAATGGTTAGATATGGGGGGAAACAAACTCCAGGAGCTTCCTGATACAATTGACAGGTAAATACAGCTCAAGGCTCATCTTAGTCTCAATTCCACTGCATTGAAATTAATAAATACTGCTTCAAAAGAGAATTGTTATGTTAACCTCACTCCAAAATCAAGATTTTATAAGCCCTAATGTGATGTTTTGGATAAGCTGGAATACTCCATTCAATTAACAATGAATTCAGTATCAACCGTAAGATTAAATATTTAATGTCCATCACATTTTTGAACAGAGATTAGGTGATTATCTTGGATATGGGGTTTCCTTGAAACTTATTGCATTATGAGTCTTTTATGTGGCTGAAAAATTAATTTTGTAGTAATGACTGAGAAGATTAATTTTATGAATCTAGATTTATTGGACAAATACCTATTTTTCAGAATGGAAAACCTCCACACTTTATGGCTCCAGAGGAATGAAATAAACTCTTTGCCAGAAACAATTGGTAATATGAAAAATCTTAGTACTCTTGTTCTTAGCAACAACAAACTCAAGGATATTCCAGTTTGTATGAAGGACATGACAAATCTGAGGTAAGAAAAAACATCAGAAGTAGAAATAAAAATACTAGAAAATACTTCCTAAAGCCCTCCTTGAGTTGTAGATCATAGAGTGATACTAAAGGAGAAGAAAAGGCATTACCACAGTTGTACAGATGGATACAATAAATCAGCATAATTACAGATTCACAACAAGCAAGGATCTGGTGAAGTAAACTTTGTGTAGTAAACTTAAAGAAGTGAATTATGATAGCTACAGACTCACATGAAAAGTAGAATATAATACATTTGCTTATTTCATTGCTCTCTCCCTATAATTGCCCTTTGCTATCACTCTGTAAAGCCAAGAGCTTGCAGAAAAATATGGCAGGCATTAAAATGACCAAAAAAAAGTAGAACTTTGCTATTGAGAATTCAAGCATTCAGAATTAAACAAAATTTATTAGGTTTAAGGACATGGATGAAACTGTCATGTACTTGAAGTGAAAAATAAAAAATAATGTAAATTCTTAATTGGTAGAATTTTAACTACTCCTTACTATACCATGACAGAAATGCTGTTGTTAGCATTTTCATTTGGATTACTGGATGCTGGCCATTTTCAAGAAAGAATGCTCATCTGCATAAACCATGTCTAACCCAGGAAGCCAATTCCTGTTCTCAGCTCTTTTGGAAGAACCTCCTTAACTAAATAAATATAAACATAGGCCCAAGGATGGAACAAGAATAAAGAGAGACAGGACTGGCTCCTGCCTGGCCAAGCTGGGAGGAGCCACTTGCACTGTTTTCATCCACTCACCTGTTTGTGAAAGCTCAATACATCTGACAGTGAGTCAGAAACTGAAGACAAAATGTTGAGGACCACAAGGGTTTTTTCTTACCACAATCAGATACTGTTATAAAGCATCTTCTTAACTTACTTAATACTACTGATAGAGTGGTGAGTTCAGTATAATAAGAACTTAATTTCCTTTTGCTTAGTGTTTGAGAAACCTTAATTCAGTTTCAAAAGAATTATTTTCTCTGGATGAAACTTACTGCAAGAGTAACCTTTTCTGGTGAATTCCTAGATTTGTCAACTTCAGAGACAACCCACTGGAGCTAGAGGTAACACTCCCTCCATGTGAGAACACAGACGAGGAGGAGCAACAGGAAATGTTTGGCATTGACTTCATGCACATGTATATCCAGGAGTCACTCAAGAAAACAGGCATGGCTTTTTTATTAATTCTGATCTCTCCACAATACAGTGAGGAAGAGAGGGATAAATAAAATCTAGGAGATGTATAGAAATGAAACATGAATAACCTTCTTAATAAGTGAGTAACATATTCCAAAAGAAATCTGTGAACAGGCTTTTACTGAGGGCAGGGGCACTTTTAACAGGAGTTGGCACAGAAAGTCTCCAACAAACAGCATAGATTCTGGTAGGAACATACTGGAACCATGGAGCACTGTAATAAATGTGCCTGAGTTACCTACACATGGATAAAGAGAAGCTGATGACTGTCTTTTGTATTTGCAATTTAATCAGTTTACATAGTGAAGGTCTTCTAGCATCCTTTAATTCATGAAGCTCAACTTTTCCTATTTTTGGATGTTACCCAGATGGTACTTCCAGAGGAAGACTAAGGGAGAAATGTCTATGTTCCCAACGTAGATCTTTTAGCAATGAACTATCAACAGCTGATAAACAGATGTTTCTCAAAACTTGCTTTCCCTGACACAAAATACAGTCACTTAAACAAAACACCCCCAGTTTCATCCCATTTCTAAAACATGCTGTTCATTGTGTCTGGGTAACAGCTTTAATGTTGAGACCCAAAATAAGCACTTTTCATCAGATGGCAGCTGTTACTTGCAGAGTGTACTTCACTGCACATATAAAATGTTTTCTCTGATCTTCATTCTGTGTTTTGTGAAGGCTTAAAAAATGAATATAATACTTTTGATTTGGAACACTAAGCCAGCTTTTTTCTTATCAATATTTCATGAATGAATAATTAAATTAGCAAAAATATACCAGAATGATACTTTAGACATGTTTTCTTTCTGACAGATTCCCTAGAGCACAGGCTGATGAAAGTACTTGGGCCTACTTAAATATTTTAAGAGGGAGTACAAAGCTATTCTAAACTTCAAAGTGAAAATAAAGTATGTCAGCTTCTCTTATTTTAATTTATTGTCTTTCAGGAAATGTGGAAAGTTGTACTTCTGGTTCTCCTCCTGTCATAAATCCTAATGAATAAAGAACATAACTGTGAATGGAAGAAAATATCAAGCACACTTCTTCACAGCAAAGAAACTACAACAGGTTTCAAATATTCTTAGGGATTTTATGTTTGCACTCATGAGAACTGATTTGCATATTTGTAATTCCCAGTCAAACTGGAAAAAATAAGACCTTTTCTTGGGTACAGGAAACATAATAAAAGGGGGGGATTTTTTGGTAAGAAATTAATTAGTTTTTAAAAAAACAACCCAGATGTAGTTTCTAGGTTTTTTTTTTTTTCCTACCAATTCCAAATCTTCTGTCAGGTATTTGGCTCTGGTATCAAAGAAGGATTTGGGACAGCTGTCAACAGGACATTCTCCAAGGACACAGCAGACTCTGTGTAATACTGCAGTGCAGCCTTGTATCCCTGTTGTTGTAAATACTCAACCCGTCCGTGATCAATCAGCCGCTTGCAGAGCCAACCGATCTCCTTTCGCTCCTCAACACTCAGTATCCTAATTCCAGAGAAACGACAGAATGAACAGCTGGCAGAAAATAGTTTTGGTAATTAACATTAGTAGTTAAGCTTAGAAAAACTACTGAAATAATTTTAATTTCATTTCAGTCAGGCAAGCACGACTGTTGAAATATTTTGAAAAAAAAAAATTGTATTTTTAAAGTCAAATATTTCTATAAGTTTAGTAATTAAATGTTTCTGCAAAATTAGTCCTTTTGAGGACCCAAAACAATTTAATGTACCACTATACATAGCTCTTCTGCTGGAGTCCATTTGCTAGGAAAAAAAATATACATACCCTTGTAAAGTATCAGAACCACTCTCTGTCCTGCTGAGTGCTTGCTCATGTTCCTCTGTGTCATTAGTTTGATCTTCACTGTCTTCACTTGTAGAAGCTTTGCTTGTGGTTTCTCGCATGCCACAAGTGGCCCAACTACTCATTCTCTGAAAATAATGGAATTCTACTGGTCCCAGTCCTACTGATTTAAAGAACTCTCTGCCTACATAATGTGTCCAGTCACACTTGTGATGGCAACACAGAGCAATAACAATTCCAGCTACAGGCTTATGGTCTTCTGTGGTGCTTTCATTACCAACAGACTTGTGAGGAGCCACCTCTGTCTGAGCAGCCCTGCAGCGTTTTGGTGCAGGCTCTTTATCTTCTCCATCACAGCAAATGGTGTAGCTTTCAACCAAGCATCTTAAAGCAAGATCTAGGAATGAAGAAATGCATGCCTCCCAACAAAAATATCCATAAACACCATGCCAATATTTATACAGTCTCTATCATGGTTGGGAATGTGCTTCCCACAAAGAAAACTGAAATTACACATCACAAACTAAGCCAAAAAGCAAGTTCAATGATAACTAAAAATTACAAACATGCTTTGAAAACATGAAAACCCTAAATGTGGTTTCTTGGAGCTTCTAAGAGCTTATCCTCTGAAATATTTGTTCTTCAAAAGTGAATTTAAAATAGTTTGGTTAACAAATTGGCATATTGTAGGAGAATCTCCTCCCTGTAAAACACACCAGTATTTGCTCTAAAAGTTTGATTTCTAGGATACTACCTATTTATTAGGCACATGTACTTCTTAAATGCTTTGCTGTGTCACCTTTGTAACGCTACCTGTAAAGGTGATGTATTTGAGATGTCTTTCTCTACATAGTAGCCATATAACATTAGAAAAGCTGTATTAGCTTAAAGTTATCAGGACAGAAACACAATCTTATTTGTGTTTGGGACACATATTCAGACAGCCAATAAAAATTTAGAAAGAAAAATGTTTCAAAGAAGAGGCAACTGGACTAAAAAAAGTACCCTTAAATCCATGACCCACACCACCACACATTATTCTCCATTCTAATCTGTTAAAGCCAAGAAAGGCTTCACTTCTGCCTAAAGTACCCTTACATCTATTATCCCTTTACTATTCCACTGGAGTGAAGAGATATTTAGAATATAATTACTCTGTTCACCAAAAAAGGGTTAGGGGGCAAGAACAGCTTAAAAAGACAACTTAGAAGATCAGTCTAGCCAGGGTGTAAGGTTTAGTATCCTGACTTTATGCAGTTCACACATTTATAATTCATACCTGTTGCAGCTCCACACAAATGTTTGCCAATTCCTACCACTGGTAGTCTTTTCTTCTCCAAAACAGGTACCTTATCTGGAGGGAAAAAAAACCCCAACCAATAAAACCCCCATCCAATCCACAATCCCAGCACCTCTATGTTTTTTCTGAATAATGTCATTTCAGCACACTTAGAAATAAAAGTTTGCCACTACTAAAAATACAGTGATTGGCACTTTCAGTTACAAGTTATTGAAAGGAAGGAGTCTTTTGTTAAGAAAAATTCAAAGAATAGGATGCTGTGGCTGAGAAACACGTTTAACCATTTCAGCCTTTCTGTATTGCCTATGAAAGGCAAATATGACATTAATGCATCTCCTGCTGACAGGTGCTCCCACAAATTCTATAGCATTGATGGTGCATCACTTGCTTAATTCTACACATGAAACAAACAATGCAAACATGTTTAATTCTGCAAGTGCTAAAAAACCTTCAAAATGTGTTTGTTTTGGTACTTATTGCCTGTAATGATGTCCTAAGAGTGTAGAAAAAGTAGAAAACTTTCAATTTAAAAACTTTCCATTTAAAATATATGTGTATGTGTACCTATGTATATTCACACATGCCTGAGTGTATACATTTGTATGCACACAGCATCAACATGTCCAAGCAACCACTGAGAATAATCTTCAGAACTAAGTACATTTAAGCATGTTACACACAAACTGTCTGGAACCCCAATGCAAAATTTAAAAATAAGCCTCTATTTCAGAATGGCACAGGCCAAGAAGGAACTTACTTAAACATAAGTGCTGAATGTCTACTTGAAGCCTCTCAAACATAGAATCTCTCCTTTTGTGTTTTCCATCCACCTGTTTACACAGAACAAGAGATTATAGAGGGCTGGCCACCAATAATTATAATTTTGCTCCAGGTATTAATGTAAGACGTTTTTCTTGTTGAGTCAACATCTATGAGTTTTCCAACATTAAACATTAGTATTTGTTTCTAATAAATTTGCTATTGGTAAAGTATGGAATATATAACTTGTAAAATTTAAATTTATTGAGGATAAAAATTAAATACTAACAGCTTCAATGGCAATGGCTTAAAAATTGTACTTTACTAATGTAACAATATCTTCTTACCTTGAATCTTGTGGTTGCCCTTTCCACAAGCAAAAACTGAACACTTTCAACATTCTCTAAGGCAATATCAACCCAATGAGACAGCTTTCCTCGTCCAGCTCCAAACTCAACAAAACACCTTCCTGGACCAAGTAAATGCAATTTTTCCATGTTACCTAAAATAGAAGCCTACAAACATCAAAAGATTATTTGTGAACCAAGAAAATCTATACCCTGTGTTTTGTAATGTCTTATAGAAAAATTATTCCTTCACCAAACTGCAGAAGACTTTTTAAGCCTTCCTTTCAGTGAGGGATTAGAGAAAAGACTGTGTGTGTACAGAGGAAAGGGATTATATCTTCTGCTTTACCATATCAGATTTCCTCTGTGGGAAGCAACTGGCATTATGCACCCAGTCACTCAAATTTACAGCAGCACAATTCCACGTGCAAACCCCTCTATAGTTATTAGTAAATCAGACCAAACCTGTTGTTTCAGGTGTTTGAAAGCAGATTCCCCATTCTTTGGATCATTTAAGGCTTCTTGTAAAGCCTGGTGGGACAGTATTTGTTCCTTGAGATGAAGTTCCAGGCCTGGAGGCAAATGCAAAACTTTTAGGTATAGCTTTCGAGTTTCTAAGGGTTCCTAGTTTGTAACATTATTACAATTATGACATGAGCTTAGTTTATAGCACTAACAAAACAGTCTCCTGAGAGCATAAATCTATGATTATATGTCTATAACAGAGACATATTGTTACCTGTTGTGATACCTGAGTGAGAAAAACAAAAGGAAGGAAACACAGGATTGGAGTTTTATTGTTCTTTCAATCTAGTTTACTTTTTGGACTAAAATTCAGCTATTGAGATCTAACTGATAATTATTTCAGCTGTGTTTTATGGCACTTATATTTTTACAGCTATCTAAGAACAAAAATGACAATGAAGTATTTCATCAATTCAATTTAAAACATCTTCTTTTTAGTATTTACTATTAAGCTCACCTTTACTTGCTTTTTTCAACTTGATAATTAAGTTCTGCAGCTCTTCAATAGATAGAGAAGATAGAGGAACCTTTTTAAGGAAAAAGAAAGTGACACCAATAAATATGAAACCTTTGAAATTTTCTGTATCATTGTAGTCATAAATTGCAGCATGTAATGTAAGGACTGAACCTAAAACCAAATAATGTACTCACTTGTTTTTCTGATATTTCTGCTACATCTTTTAAACCAGCATTAATATCTTGAACAAAGTAGACCTTCAAAAAAAAACAAAAGAAAATAAATTTGATTCAGTTAATTACCAGGAAACAAATAGCTAAATTCTTTAGTGTTCTTATGGTAAGGTATGTAGCAATAGGAATTCACTGCATAGTAAGATTTTCCAAGTAATTTTTTTTCTATAGTCTGATCCTGAATCCCAGCCAGAAATTACTCTTCTGACACAGTTTTACAAGATCGAACATGTTCATAAGAGTTAAGCAGTAAGTGCTTGCTAGACAGATTCCAGAGCCTAATTTCAGGTTTCCCAGGGAATACTTAAGGTGCAGTTCCAATAAGGTGGAAAGGCAGGCCATAAAGAAGCCATCCTCTGCTTTTTTGGAAGAGCTGTTTAAACACATGTCCTGTTGCTTCCCTCAGCAGCTGCCAGCCAAGCTTTCCATGGCTCGCTGCCAGGCTGACTGGAGTGGGCACTTGGCTGGAATACCAGAGCCTCTCTGCAGGTTTTGCTTTCCCAGGACAACCTCTCAGCCAGCCTCTGCAATGAATGGCATCGTGAGAGCCTGTTCCCTGCGTGTGGTTCTGAGAAAAATGAATTCTACATCTTTATTTGTAACCAGGAACTAAAAAATTGTACTAAATTACAATGAGAAGGGGCAGAAACTGGAGTTTGAGTTGCATTTCAGCAAGTACCTATAGAGCTTCCATCCTGCCTTACAGTAGTGCTTTGCTCACAGCTGCTGTCAGCACAGACAATTCTCTGCAGGGCTCTAATGTTTAAGGTCTTAAATCCAAGAGGAAGTGCTGAAATTACACTGCACTTACGGGCTTTGGCTTCTCTCTTGAGTTACATTTTTTTAAATGCTTTTGTAGTTGGTCTTCATATACAGTGCTAAAAGTCAAATGGAGAGAAGAGTAAGTATCATGTGAATACTGACAAAGGACGGGAAAAGCATTTACATATACTCACTGTTTTGGATCAAGAGGGCACGGAATTCTTTTTCTGTCATTTTGTTCCTAGTTAGAAAAGTTTTAGAAAACACTTCAGCATGCATTCAGTGTTGCGTTTTAACGATGCTGTTGAGGAGCATCAGCTTCATAAAACATCTATTCAGAACAGGTGAGTTAACCGGAACGGAGAAACTGAGACGACAACTTAATATTTGACTGAATCCTAAAGGAATAAACCCTAATGCAAGGGCAGCGCTACTTGGGCTGAAGCGAGTGCCCGGCACACGAAGGCTCAAGGGAAGGCACAGGCGCTGTCTCTCCACCCGCGCCGCCAGAGCGGGGCCACCCCGAGCCCGCCCGCCCTCCCGGCCGGACAAGGGTCCCTGCACCTCCTCGTGCCCGTGCTCCCCGCAGAAGCGCCTGCCGGGCGCCGGGATCATCCTGCAGAATCGCCTCTTCCTCAGCACGAAGTGAGCGCATCGCTCCGGCTCCGGCTCCGGCTCCGGCTCCGGCTCCGGCTCCGGCTCCGGCTCCGGCTCCGGCGCCGCCATCGCCGCTCCCGGCAGCCCCCGCGCCGCCATGTTGCGGCCCCTCCCCGCGGGCGGGAGCAAGATGGCGGCGGAGCGGATCTTCGACCGGGCGGTGTCGGTGCGAGTGCGGGGCGGCGGCTGCGAGGAGCGGTGAGTGCGGACCGGCTGCGCAGGAGCTTCTCTGCGCTCCTCAGAGGGGCTGCGAGCCACAGGCTTTTTCCTCCTGCCTGCCCTGTGCTCTGGGCGCGGCTGCGCTTTGGGGTTGCTGCGGGCACCCTCCGGGTGAGGGAGGCACCGGGTCTGGTGAGGGCCGGGCGGTCGCCGTGGGTGCATCTCCAAGGGAGCCAAGCCGGCGGGGCGCCGGCAGCGGAGCGAACTCGCAGCGGCTCGGCGGAAGCGCCGCTGTGCCCGAGGCTGAGGCGACCCGAGGGCCGGGCGGCTGCCGGGCCCGCGCCGTGTTTGGCGTCTCCCGGGCCGCAGCGCTGCCCGCGGGCCCTCCCGCCTCTGTCCCGCCTCTGTCCCGCCGCACCCCCCGGACCGCGGCCTCCTCAGGGACCCGCGAGTTTGAGCCACCTGTGCGAGAGTGTGCACGGCTGTGGTGTCTGGGGAAGCCCAGCTTCTGTATGAGAAGCGTCTTTTCAAAATAGAATGAATTTCGGCAGTCTGGGTTCTTGTCTAGATTAGACAGTGTGTGCCCGACTCACCTGTGTGAGAAGGTGCGGAAAGGCTGATGTCTCTGCTGTGCGTTGTAATATAAGTGACTTAGTTCTCGATAAGAAATCATTGAAAACAAATTAGCACTGTGTAAACGATTATCAGGAGTTTGAGCTATTGCTAGTAAGTTTCAACCGGCTTTTACAAAAGTTCTAGTTTCTGGACAAAGTTTCAAAATTTCTGCCTTGCCATTTAAAGTCTGGCAGATAACAAGCAAGCAGCAAAAACACCAGCTCTGACTGAGGAGCTGCAATGACTGAAACTCTTCTATCTTAAGTGTAGTAATCAGTGGGAGCTTTCTTAATGTTTCCGCTTAAGTTTATTTTTTTGTTTTGTTTGGGTTTTTTTTGTTGTTGTTGTTGTTGTTTTTTGAGATGTCATTGATTCCTGTAATGCAGCTGTGAACACATGTTATTTGGAATCTTGAGTCACTGTGTTTTATCTTTTGGTACACAGGAGATTAAATGTTCGAGTGAATATTGAACTGCTATCAGTTTCTAATCCTGTTCATAAAAAGGTTTGTAAATTAATCATATTTCTGTCCTTCATTAGGTATTATCTGAATTTCATTTTATGAGAGGATAAGTAGAAAAAGGAAAAGCAAGTGGGATTTTAGTATTTGCCGTTTGGCCTGACTTTATTTTTTATATAAATGCACAGGCGAACATGAGTTAGAGCTTAAGAATACCTTTAGTTCAAGGTTCTAAAATGAAAGTAAAAAAATTAATCTTTCTCAGGGAAAATCGTAATGAGACCACTACTGGAGATTACAAAATCTCTTCTGTTGTATGTCTGATTTGTCACCAAAGTGTTCATCCCCCTTGCATGATGTTAAGATTGGTCATGGGTTGGTTATAGTGTTGCTAAGTCAAGATTTGTTTGTGTAGGAGTACAGCAGGTTTTGGTCACACTCTGCTGCTGGTGGCAGTGATAATGGTACTTCCCTCTGAGCAGAAGCAGCTCAGTTAGAAGTGTGTGCTGAGCTGCAGTTTGTGAGGAGGAGCCTGGAAATGCAGTTGAGTCCATCAGGGACTGATCAGAGTAAAGAGAGAATTTCCAATGCTCAATCAGCTAATGAGACATCAGACCCAGCAGGCATTTTTATCCCACCCATCGGTCTACCCCAGCTGGCTTGGGGTAGCATTAATTTTAACTGTATGTGTGTGTAAATCCCTGAAGTGTTTATGCATCTCCAGCTGAGAGTTTTGTTGGTGTTACTGGCACCTAAATTACTGAAAGAAATTTCAGTTGTGTGTACGTACAGTGCTGTGTCACACTTCATTATATTGGAACAGCTGACACGATCCTGCTTTACTTTTGTACCTCTGCTGGGGAATATCCTTGCCACAGAGGCAAGCCTTGTTCCAGGGACCAGCTGCCTGAGCTACTACTGCATAATCTGTCCTTGGAATTCAAGGCAGTTTTCCCAAAACACTCTGTAGACCCCCAGTGAGCAAATGAGTGTCTATTTAAAAGCTAAGCAGCATAATGCTGCAGTTTGCCATATGCAGTTTCTGGACTTCAGCTGTATCCAATCTGCAGAGTTCTGTATTAAAGTATATAAAATCAGTTGGTGGTCTCATAAACGTCAGGAGCAGTGTGCTCTGAAAGACTTTCAGTTATGGGAGTGATGTATTAATAAACCGTGACAGTGGACTGCTAGTGCTACACTCTATTTCATGAGGGGAAAAAAGGAGCAAATAGCTTTTTTACTGAAAAATGATGGATACACACTGAATTTTAAAACCTTTGCTGCTCAAAGTTTAAGGTTTTAACTCAGTTTGTTTTTGTGAGTTTTCCTTGTTTTCCCACTGTAATATTTGAAGTTGTGTTAAATGGTGATGTTTTACACATTTTGAATCAGTTGCCACAATTCTGTTGTATTTTTGGCTAAATAATGAAAGCATTCAATACTGTTTGCAATGCTGGTTTAAAATATTAAGACTCCCGGGTAGTTTATAGTATTTTAATCTTAATTAAATGTACTTATTTTCAGGACTTAGCTGTTCGATTGACTGATGATACTGATCCTTTTTTCCTTTATAACCTTGTCATATCAGAGGAAGATTTTCAAAGGTAAGTGAAATTACAGTATTTTCTCTGTGAAACATTTGTAAGTGGCAGAAAAGAACAAGGGAATGTTTTTAGCTTGGAGTGGTCTATGTTAGAATTCAGGTTTTGGCAGTTTTAGCTGTGGGATTTGTCAGTATTGTTCTCTGCCCAGTCAGTAGAACAGCCAGGTTGAGGAGGGTGACCAGCTCAGGTTACACAGTGGGATCCCGATGTTAAGTTCCCTGCAGGGACACAGTGCCACAGGTACCACAGTTCATATTGCTGCTGGTATCTTCTGTCTGTCCTAACTGCTTCTTACACACTATTGTGTGTGTGTGTGAACTAGTTCAGGAAATAATTATGAGAAGAAAGTCTATGTGCGTGGATGTGGTTTTACAGACCTCAGCCTGTATCTTAGGGGTTTCTTGCATAATTTTACTGTTGGGACTCATTTTACTTGCTCAGAATTTGAGCAAATCATCAAATTTGGATTCCAGGCATGAATAGATGAACAGTTCAGTTTTCTGCTTTCTTTGGATATTTATTTTAATTTTTGCTTTGGTTTTTTTTGTGTTTTTGGTGGGGTTTTTTGTTTGTTTGGGGTTTTGGTCGGGGGATTAGGCTTTGGTGTTGCTTTTAAAAAGGGAGGTGTGATCAGTGTATAGATCAAAAGGCAAAAGCAAAGCAGTGTTTGCAAGAGAGATGCACAGAAGTGTTTTGTTGCATGGAGGCACAGCTTTGTGTGTGCACTGCAGGATGTTTCTGTCTGAGTTTGCTGTGTCTTTGGAGAAGGGGGGCAGAGGAATGGGCGAGTAGGGGACAGAGGTAATGGCTGAGGCTCCCCTCCTTGTCCTGTGCTTGTTCCCTGTGCCTGTCCCATCACTGCTCCACACTGTGCTCTGAGGGTGATGCCTACTCAAAGAAACACATTTGTGACACGCCAACAACTTCTGGGTTTTAATTAGTGCAGCCCATCTGCAAGAACTCTTGTGATCAGCAGTATCCTCTGGGGATTATTATCCCAAGATGTGCTCCAGGATGACCCTGCTCCAACAGGGAGGTTGGACCAGCTGACCCACTGTGGTCCCTTCCAGCTTCACCACTTCTGTGATTTTGTGATATGTGGACACACTTCTGATTGAAAATGACATGCTAGTAAACTCTTTAATGACATAATCAGAACTGGTTCTTTCTACTAGTATAAACAAAGTATTTTATAGGAAATAAATTACAGTTCTGTATATAATTAACTTTTTTTTACTGTCTGTTTATATAGTTTGAAATCCCAGCAAGGTCTCTTGGTAGACTTCTCTGCTTTCCCACAAAAATTTATAGATCTACTTCAGCAATGCATTCAGGAGCAGAACAAAGATATCCCAAGGTAGGTCACAAGTGTGTGCCACATTACTCTGTGTGTACCTGTTGAGTTCTTGAAATGCTTGTCAGTCACTCAGACTGAGAACAGTCAGTGGAAAAGGATGATCTGACCTGCCCCGACCTGAGTATGTTCGTGGATGTAACTGGCAAAACCTGAGTCTTGGGAGGAGGATTTTTTTTCAGTATAAACTGTACAGCCTTGTACTGCACATATAAAAATATATTTTACTAGGAAATAGCTCAGGACCTACAGGTAGTTTCAGAAAAAAATATGCTAAACATTTGATTCTCTTGGTTTTTCCCTAGGTTTTTGCTGCAGTTAGTTTCTTCAGCACCTGCTCTAGATCACACACCTGTCTCTTTAAATGTAGTAGAGACCAACCCTTTCAAACACCTTACCCATCTCTCTCTAAAATTCCTGCCGGGAACTGATGCAGAAATAAAGAAGTTTTTAGCCACCTGTTTGAAACACCTTAAGGTAAAATGAACGTTTATCATAACTGCAACTAAGCCTCAATACTGTATGTACTTAAGCAGTACTTTTTTTTTCCATTCTGGATAGTTCAGAAGTATGTACCAAGTTGTATGCTCTGGTTTATTTTTCATTTTAGCCCAGATATGTAATTGCATGCAGCTACTTGGGTGCATGTTGTAAAATATGAATTGTTACTGTCACCCTGGCAATGAAGATTCTTTCTATCTGTTCAGGCAGGCAGTGCCATTTGGAGTGGCAGGAAGGGAGTGTTTTACATGCAATGAACGTGGTGTACAGCTGCTGAGTGCTCTGGCTT